TTCTTTACTATATTTGGAATTTGTATTATTATGCAGGAGTGATATTATAGTGCACTTGAAAGACATATTTATAGATCGCTGGGCAATGATGGAGTTATTGTGCAATGGTTGCAAATGACCATGTCGACGCTCAAGCGATGATTTTGAACGATAAGAGGAATGCAAATCCATCTCTTTTTAGGCCTTACCTTTATGTATCACCACTGTACTGGGTAAGACCGCATCTAAATATCTAAACACCCATATTTAATTATATTAAGAATTTCAACAACAATATGAATATGTCAACACTTTGTTTTATTATGCAGGTGTATCATAAAATGGGTAACCCCAAATTATTTCTGAGTCATATCACCAAAGAAGCAGTTCTGAAAGCCGATATCATTATGATTCCTGTTCTGAATAACCAACACTGGGTTTTATTGGTCGCTGATCTGAGTGAGGGGAAGTGGAAAATGTACGACTCATTAGCCAACCAGATGCACAAAGCCGTGTGCAACGACGTTGTAAGTTACTCTCAATTGTTAAAGATATTATTTTCTGCAATTTTCATCAGTTTAGTACATTCACTGTCACTATTTTACTGTGTAGATCCAACGCTTTGGCTTTGATGTCGAAGCTTCTTTCAGGGCTAAACCCGGGAAATGGAAAATTACACTGGTAGTATTTCTGTTTTATTAGTTGCAACAATCGTTACAGTATTCTTGAAGTAATAGTTGTACTATTGTTGTCGTTTTATGGTAGTATTTCTGTTTTATTAGTTGCAACAATTGTTACAGTATTCTTGAAGTAATAGTTGTAGTATTGTTGTCGTTTTATTGTAGTATTTCTGTTTTATTATTCTGTTTTATTAGTTGCAATAGTTGCAATAATCATTCCAGTATTCTTGAAGTAATAGTTGTCGTATTGTTGTCGTTTTATTGTCATATTTCTGTTTTAATAGTTGCAGCTTTTATTAGTTGCAACAATAGTTCCAGTATTCTTGAAGTAGTAGTTGTCGTATTGTTGTCGTTTTAATCTTGCTGCAATATTATGGTTGTATATATAGCTCTCTAATCAAATCAAGATATTTTGTTAATATTATTGCTGTTCGGGAATTAATATTATTGCTGTTCGGGGTTAATATTATTGCTGTTCGGGAATATTTTGGTGTTATTCGACACAAATCAGAGTTAAAATTAAGATAAATTATCAAAACATTTTCAAACGTCGATTAATCATTCACCGCAAACAAGAGATAAAATGCAGATAAAATCTAAAAATATTTTATATCCCACGGATCTTATGCAAATGTCGTTTAATCATTCGTAGATGCTGTGGAGCTAGATACAACCGCGGATCTGCGAATCCAACAAAGGAATGTTCTAATAAAACAGTGATATATTCATGAATACTTCAAGAATATTTTGGTATTATTCAGCACAAACGACATTATGCTCTGCAACATATACATTAATTCTAAAATTACACACAATATATGGTTTCAATTACTTGGTATTTCACACATCATCATCTAGGTCCATCAATAAGCTCGTGTATGTGTCTGTGGGCAGCCCTGCTGATTTCAAGAAATCACATATGAATATAAGTACATATGTCGATTGGGAATTAGATCACACAACATAAAACATTTCGAACTTTAAGTTATGTACCTGACTATACTGAGCCGACATTGAAAATTAGCTTGGATTTGATGGGTGAAATGCTTCTTGAGTTGAAACAACTTCTTTATCCTTTTCTGTTAAACAATGTGTCATGTTAGTGAGCTGTAATTCAACGTACATCCAAAACAATAGAAGAATATAGCCTAACTAACACTTTGTTTATTTTTCAATCTTACTTTTTGATCGGTTATTCTTCTCCCAAAAGCCTTTTAATCTAGCATTAGAAACTCCTTTTGGCCGCATCTTCGTTGGGTCCTTCAAATTGTGTGATTTATTCGGTGTCTTTTTCTTCTTTGACATTGGCATTTCCTGATGGTCTCTACCATTCAATATGACTTCAGATTCGAGTGTTAGTTTCCTTAATGTTTCCAGCACGTTTTTTTCAGCAAGTTCATTACCTTGAGTTAATATGCTGATCTGGTATGCAAATTTATGAACGTGCATTCGAATATGAGACCACTCGAACAAGTTGCTGAAGTTTGCGAATCTTTCAAATGTTTATAACCATAGTTGTTATATATATCCCTCTTTGCATGAACCGACCACCGCAGTAAAATATATTTATCAGGGATCTTTGTTATATTCTCATGGTTAAGCACTCTTAGAGTGTGAGCACATAATATTCCCATCATTTCAAATTTTTTACAACTGCATGTAATCTCAGAATTACCTTTATCGACCTTAACAATCCACGGTCTGACTGTGCGCTCATTATCTAAATTTTTAACATAAAATTCTGAATTTGAACTGGCTAAGCACTCCATAGCAAGACCACACATACCATGTAACAACTCTGCTTCAAACATTGAATATAGCTTCCTCGTATAAACTAAAGCTCCTTGCCTCAACACAGGACTACTTTTCACAGCAGGGACAATTGCAGATTGTTCAGATTTAAAATCTTCATCCCTCTCATTCCTTCTCCAAGCTCTCATGACATTTTCAAGACCCAAGAAACTCTCAGTGAGGGTGCTTGTTGGCTTAGAGGCATTATGACAAATGTTATTCGTCGACTCACTCCTTTGTGTTGAAAGGATCCCCATCCCAAATATGTCCTTGTTGAAAGCTGTTGACCACTTATGTCTGATATTGTACAAGCTAATCAACCAATCATTCTCATATAGATTTCCTAACACAATCATTGAATGCCAAGTTTCTTCAAACTCCTCCTCAGAGTTACACCTAGCCATGCATTTATAAAAAAGCTCATTGACTTTCTTGGTGCTTACACCACAATGTAGCTTTGAAGATAATTTCTTGTAAATATGTCATTGGCATAATCTATGTCTTGTGTGCGGAAGGCACTCTTCGATGGCTTTGGCCATTGCTTGATCCTGATCAGTGAATATTGTCATCGGGTGCTTGTTGTCCATAATCCGAATAAATGATTTTAATAGCCACTTGAATGATTCAACTGTTTCGTCTGACAAAAAGCCAACTCCAAATAGAACGTTCTGTCAGTGGTGGTTCACACCAACAATAGGAGCACAACATAAATTGTATTTATTTAATCTATAACTTATGTAAAAAATTATGACATCCCCAAAGCAATCATAATCAAGTCTGGATATCCCATCACTCCAAAAGAAATTCAATAAACTACCAGACTCATCAATCTGGACGTCCCATGCAAACATTGTATCCTCTGCTTTCCTCTCAGTGAACAATCTAAGTAGAGAATTAGCGTCCCCATTTTTAATTATACTATTTATCTCACTTTGTATGAAATTATAAGCATCCCTCTTCGTGCAATCAAGATTTTCAACTCCCCCAAATTCTGTAGCCAGAAAACTAAAGGCATCGCTTGTTCTGATCCCTGATTTTGTCATCGATCTGAGCACTTGTGCACTAACATCACCCATTTTTCTGCTAGAACACAATAGATGTTTGTCACCGTCTGCTGCCAAAGGATGGTTATGAGTTTCTATAAATTTCTTAACCGACCAGTTACCTTCTACATCGACGACATATCGGATCATGGCTGGACAACCAGTCCTTGTGTCCCCTCTTCTGTACTTCACC